CGAAACGGCCCCAAAATGGCTCAAAACGGCCCCAAGTGGGTCAAAATGGCCCCAAATGGGTCAAAACGGCCCCAAAATGGGTGAAAATGGCCCCCAAATGGTTCAAAATGGGTTGAAACGGCCCCAAAGGGGTCAAAATGGCCCCAAAATGGGTCAATTCTGCCCTCCCAAGACAAAACCACCCAAAATGGGGGCAAGGATCCCCCAAAATGGGTGAAATGGCCCCAAAATGGGTCTGATGGCTCCAAAATGGGTCCAACTCTCCCCAAAAGGGTCAATTTTCCCTCAGATGGGTCAATTTTCTCCCGAATGGGTCAAAACTGCCCCAAAAGGGCCCAATGTTGCAAAAATTGGGGTGAAATGGCTTCAAAATGGGGGCAACCCCCCAAAACGGGTCAACCCCCCCAAAAAAAGGGATGCCAAGTCATGAAAATGGGTCAAGCGGCCTCAAAATGGGTCAGATCCCCCCAAAATGGGTCAATTTTCCCCTAAATGGGCCAAAACTGCCCCAAATGGGTCCAACGCCTGCAAAATTGGGGTTAAAATCACCCAAAATGGGGGGCCCTCCCCAAAACGGCTCAAAATCCTCCAAAATGACTCAAAACTTCCCTAAAATGGGTCAAACAGCCCTGAAATGGGTCAAATTCCCCCCAAAATGGGTCAAAACTGCCCCAGATGGGTCCAACGCCTCCAAATTGGGCTCAAACTCCCCCAAAATGGGTCGAACTCCCCATAACCGAGGGGCAAACTCCCAAAAATGGTGGTTGTGCCCCAAAATGACTTCCTGCCCAACACCCCCCCCAGCTCCTAAAATAGGGGAAATTACCCCAAAATGGTGCCCCCCCTTGTGGGGGGGGGCAATAAAGGGCCCCGGTGACACCGGGCGTGGGGTGTCTTTTTGTGGGGGGAGGGGCCCGGACGCCGGGGCCCCTCGTAGGGGGGCGGGGCCCCGGCATCCGGGACCACCCCCCACCCCCTCCCCCAAAACAACACCCGGAAGCGACTGTTTTTTTTCCCAACATGTCGTTCATTCAAGTCGTTATTTCTATGGAAAACGTCGCAAGGGGCCCCGGCGTCCGGGACAGGGGCCCAGGCGTCCGGGGGGGCGGAGC